CCATCCTCTCATTCGGATGGGAAGCGTAGGCAAGCTACAAGTTTTGCCGCTTTGTGATATCTCTCATTGTAGACGGGCGATAAATACAAATCCGAGTTAGCTGTACTGTAAATTCAATTCAAAATGTGTACCACTCGTGGAGAGCATCGTATTCGTCATCTTAATTGATTTTACTAACATTTGACTGTGGTCGATTACGTTGTAAACATGAAACTCGGAGTTTGAAGTTTGAAAATATTGTTTAATAAGAAGGTTTTTTATAAACTATATTAGAATTTCCAAATGATATATATAACTATTGTGATACTTTTTTAATTGATTTGTATTATATGTCTAGTAGGGTTAATGATCCTGTTCAAGTATTCATTTTAAGCGTTCAATGGTAACCCAGTTGATATAAGAGGGTCTGGATGGGGTTTACGGGATATAGAATAATGGGCCAATACTGCAGAAAAAATGAGCCTAAATAATATAGAATTATAGAATTATAGCATATATAGGCCAAACAGATAAAGAATAGAAAATAATGGGCAAAATTTATAAAGAATGGAGAAAACTGGCTTTAAGAATTAAAGAATAAATAATTAAAGGATACCCCACCCTATCCAAACCCTCATATAAGTTAAAAATAAAGGGACATATTTTATATCGTTGGACATGTTAAAATATTCAAATGCTTTCTATAGATCTTAATAGATAAATGTGTTTCTGATTCATTGTGGTATTTCGTCAAATAATTCTTATATTTAGAAATTCCCTTTACACTGAGCTTAATATAAAAAGATAGATTTCACTTCTTTCACAACAAACATTGCACCACGATGATGAAAGTTGGTTACAAACTATATTTCTCAGTAATTATATATAATTTGATATTGACCTCTGTATTCACGTTCACTGTAAGTAAAATATTTTAATTGATTGTCATCAAAGGGGTTCCAGTTGGAGTATAAAACTATTGTTTTTATTATTTGATTCGATATAATTTGTATTTTTTGTGTGTTTTTTTTATCTTTTATGGCGTTAAATGTTTTGTTGTCTTATGATTTTTTTATGTATGTTTTGGTCGATATTTTACCGATCAAGATAAAAAACAGAGGGAAAAAGTGTGTGTTGGTGGGGGGGGGGGAGTATAAAAAAAAAAATATTAGACCCCGCCATCTTTGCATGTCCTAAGTCTGGATCTTCTTCTTCAGTACTTGCCATATATTAATATTATAGTATTTTTCGTTGTTTGGAGATTTGAGTGTTCATGGAGGACAGCTTTTTACTGCAACTGAAGGGTTTTTGTGTCGTTGGAAAGATGACTCGTTGACATACATACTTTTATCTCCTTTTATTCATGTGTATTAATGATCTCAGACCAATTCCCAAATTTTATAGCAAAATTTTGACTGATTATTTGTATAGTTATTTTTTTAGGAGTATGTACACCGTGAAAATATGACTGAAAGCATGCTGGTATTTTATGTTTATTAATATTGAAAATTTATAAATAACACATGTTGCATACAAATGATACTTAAAAAAATAGAAATTAAATTCAGACGACATTTTCACTAAGTTTGTGTATGAAATTGGTTCTGAAGGCAACTTGAGGCCATATATATCTTTTGACTTTCGGACAGACTGCTTAAGAAATCTTGTTTAAAGCAATGAGTTTTTAAATGTGTACAACTCATGACGTGTTTGGTTAACTTATAATAAATAGATTTAATTTAATGCAAAAAAGCGCTCATAGATTAGCTATTGAGCAGGGTCGTTACAGAAAGATTGACAAAGATACAAAGTATTTGTAAATTTTGTTCTTTATAAATTCAATTGTAGACGACATTCATTTTCTGGTGGAATGTCCAGCATTCGAACAACAACAGCGAGTTTTGTTAAATTTTGCTTTTCAAATCTGTAATAATGTTAAAAATCGAAGTATATAAAAGATTTATTTATTACCTCTTTCTTGTGAACATGAAGAAATATGAAACACTGCTTTTATTTGTTATTTATGTGTTACAATAAGAAAACAACTGCTATAGTTAAATCCTTAATACCATAAACATGATAAACATTATCATTATTGTTTGTTTTTTTTACTTATGTCTATGTGTAATCATTATATGTAACATGCCCTTTATGGGCGGACGATTAGCATGATTTGTTAAATAAATACATTTGAGAATGGAAACAGGGAATGTGTCAAAGCGTATTCGTATTTATTTTGTCTCTCTTTCATCTGATGAAATCAAAATAGAAATTGATACTAATAATTTTTAAGCGCATGGAATATTGCTTATCAAACTTTATTTATTACTTCAGAACATAGAATTCAGTTTTTGAGATTTGATGTAATGAATTAATGAAAATGTGCTAGCTAAACCGAAGTCTTTGTAATAGATTTTCAACATTCGAAAGTAATATCGAAAGAAAACACATAATGATATTTTTAAAATGATGGAAAACACAAGCGTAAAATTTCCGAGTACGTCATTCACCTAATTCAACTCACAATTTCTATAAATAGAAGCATATTGGATGTGTATATATTAAAGTGAAACATCGTTACAAATAAATATCTTGTAAAACATGATGGTCTATGTAACGCACACATTGATTTTCTCGCTGATAAGGCATTCATTATTTCATTATACATTATATCTTCACTCGTGCAGTAAGTAAAAACATAATCATGATAATGGCAATTATTCTATTTTCCCCACATATATTAATATTCTATACGAATACCATCAGTTCAATGTATTTGAAAGATCAAAATTAATATGAAATTAAAAGATGAATTATTACCAAAAATGAGTGATGGAAAGTCAACTTTTGAAAGGTTGCAAAATGTTATTCACTAACATTTACACATATTGCAAATTATATGTAAAGAAATGTAACATTAAGTTATTGACATGCCTGTAAATCTAACATGTCTAACGACCTGTGCTATTTAAGTCTACTTTATTCTAAAGATGTATAACCTACTATTTAATTTCAAAATAGAAAGTTTTTCCCTCCCTTTTCATTAGGAAGCAACCATTTAACTTCAAGGGGGGGTTATGGTTTTTTGTCCGAGTCAAATTTTTTTTTTTAGTTTTTCGACGCTATCAATCAAATAATTTTTTTTTCAAAATGTAACATTTGTGTTCAAGTCTATTTTCACTTGGCGTTTTTTCAGGTTTCAGAGAGCCTTCCAATAACCGATTATTTGAATATATATGAAAATAATAAGATATGGACCAAGTTATTTAAAATCGTAAAAAGTGCTCAACTGGCAACACCAGCAACCGAACAGATTGCTAATGAGAATGGCATGTACTAAAAGGTGGAGTGGAGTGGAGTGGTGGAGTGGAGTGGAGTGGAGTGGTGGAGTGTTGGAGTGGAGTCATGGAGTGAAATACTTAACATATCCAACAATCAATATTTGATTTTTCATCAAAGTTGGACAATATTTTGGGTAGCATTTTATGGCAGCTTAGTTGGAGGTGGGATTATAATGTCTATCGTGTAATTTTCTGTACTGTCCTGAATTGTAGTGTATTTTTAATAAGAAGGGGGAAGCAAAGGCCCAGTAACCTATGCAGTTAAAATTGATTTTGGACTAGCTCACAAAACTTCTATTAAAGTACACATAGTGCTTATGTTAATTTCCAAATTGTGGTAGGTTTAGTCCCTAGTTAAAAAATGTATGTCTTATTCCCGGCAAAATATGTTAGAATCAAACAGAGGCTAAAAAATCATCTTGTGATAAAAATATTAAAATTATTAATATTTTTATTAACAATGGACTATGATATTATAAAATTAAATTGTCAATCAACATTTTCACTTAGATTTTATCTTACATGTTAATTTAATGACTGTACTATTTAAAATAGTTTGTTTCTTCCAATTAAAAATAGATAAGGAAAATGTATCTAGCCACCATCGCCTGTCCATAGAACCCATAAAACTGTCATTACTATAACCTCAGAAACTAAATAACTTAAATAGATAAGAAATGTTGTTGTTTTTGAGTAATTTGATAAAATAAACAGATGTTAAATCAGTACAAACCACACACTATATAGGTTCTGCATATTATGAAAACAAGACTGAAAAGCATAAATAAATTGATATATACTTGTATATATATTTAGATATACCGTAAGATATAAGTATATAAAGAAAACATTTTCAACAAATTTTATTGTAAAATTAAAAATCTATTGTCCTGAACATTTAACGTTGAATTCCTAGCGATTCTAGTAAAAGCAAATGCCCATCTGATAAACTTTGCTTTATTTCGTTATGGATTAAAACATCTTTGAATTCAAACTGAGGATCCTTTTTTCTTGCACAGTCAACATTTAAATGAAAATATGTGTTTTGTAGAGAAACAGATTGTTTCAAGATTTTAGATCTTGGACTTAAATACATTCTATGATCATATCTTTTTAACACAAGATCATTTGGAACATTTCTATGCTTATCTGAAAATGATTGTCCACAGCCGTAACATTTTCTTATTATTCCAGCTATGAAAGTAAGATGGAATGGTTGTTTATTTAAATCATGTCTTTGAACTTCAGTGTCTTGTCTATACTCATTCACCTCTAATGACTGTTTGTTAGCAGAGCCCTTCCTTTTTTGTGTCGCACTTGATGCCTTTTTTCCTCTTGTTTTAGACAAACCAAAGTTAGATATTTTCGTAACCGCAACCCTGTTCTTTTTTAATTTATATTTTGCTAAGTAGTCCCTCAGGCCGCCACGACTTTCGGCCAAAGCAAGTGTGTGCTCACAAATGGAATATGCATTAAATCTGAAACACACTTTTTCACATTTGATATTCCAACTTTTGAAATTAACTGCCACCTCCTTAGCTTTTTTCGATTTATTATCAGCCACATAGAAAATGTCTGTACAACCAGGGGATTGGATTATGTTGCCTTTTTTTGTTGAAATTTGTGAGGCATCATTAAAAATATCCACGAGAATTCGGTATGGTATATTGTCTATATTACTATCAGATGCTGACATTGACAGTATGTTTTCCTTCTCCCTGGTATCATCCCCGGATACTCTTGAGGTTAATGGAGCCTGTAGCAGTCTGAAAGATATAAATAGGAGAATATTTAAGAATCAAAAGATATCTAAAATTGATAATAAACATTGAAAATTGAAAACAGTTATATCTTTAGTAATAATGCATTCATGGAGTTATTCTTGGACATCTTTAACAATTTTTACATCAAAATTATTTTAAATTTCACATCTTATCTGATATCAGCAGTAGTTTTAGACAGTTGTATAACAAAATAAAATAAACCTACATATTCATTTCATAGAAACCAGCTTTCTGTTTCATTTGTGTAACCAATTGATAAACACGTGAACCTATATTGTTTTTGTTGACTTCTTTCTATATTGTGTCTGCATCTTATAGGTATCCCAGTTATATAACACATATGAAATATTCTCTGAGCTTGAATTTTACTTTACATAATTATGAAGTCTTAATTGTAATTATGGATTCCCCCATTATCAATTGTTTCTTTTTTTACATATTGGATTCTTTGGGGTTTTCATAACAAAACAAGGAGTTTGAAAGAGGACAGATATCCTTTTGTGTAAAAATTCAAACAAATCAAATATTGGTTGGTGATATTTTGCTTTCAGTTAATTTATTTAGGAATCAATTGCAAAATATTACTCACTTTTTAAAAACTGCTTCTCTCTGTGTTGACGTTTTTCTCCAATAAAGATTTTCCTCTATTTTTAAGTGACTGTATTCCGGTTTCAAGGTATATTCCCCCTTACCAATCAGTGCAAGTTTTATTTCATTTTCTTGCTGCTTCACTTTTACTTCCATTTTCTTGGCAAAATCAAATGCATCACATTTCGACGTTAAATCTTCCTTTATTACTTTATTTATACATTCGTTTGGATTCTGTGTGTATGTTTTTGGGGGGAAACCTAGACCACATATACTTCTCAGTTCTGGACTCATGCTGTTTCGTATTGTATCAGCTTTGTATTCAACAAAATATTCCAAAAAATCATTTCCTTTTGTGTGTCTTTCTTTCCAATTTCCAGATAAATTGTTTAAATTGGAAGTGAATTCTTCTGCCGACAATGAGTCAACTAAACCTGGAATTTTAATATCTTCTTCTACATAACCGAATATATCATTAATATATTCTTTCTTTAGTTTCCCGGATATCCCTAATTTGACAAGTTTTCGTTCAATGTTATCAAACATGTGAATGTCACATAATAGATGTTTACTGTTGGGAAAACAAGCCTGAAATGCACTGGATAAGTTTACATCTCCGTCAGTTCCAAACACTTTGAGGTCAATAAGTTTTGGAGACTCTTGTAAAAGAGTAGATGGTAATTTGAAATAACTGTCAAATGTTTTGCGCTGATGAATCAACATAGGGCCTATCATTACTGGTTCAGTGTCAAACCTATTCAGTAACATTTGATGTCTGTAAACTGAAACCGTCACGTAATAATTTCCTATATTAAAAGTTGTATCTACTCCTAATACACAAAAATTTTTATTTTGGGTACAAAATTTTCCAATTTCAGTAAGTTGTCTGTCGGATCCCAAAAACATACTAAATTCGGGTGCCGTTCTGACGTCTCTCACAAACTGTGACATATTTTTTTCTTGTTCTTTAGCAAGGTCTGTACATTCTACCACAGGGTCAATGAATTTACAATTGTTATTGTTCACATTATATATTTGTTTTCTATTTCTTGGGATCGAGGAGGACCCTTTCACATGCTCAAGTCCACCTTGTTCGGAAATGATGTTATTGAATATTTCTTTGGGTTTGGTTTTATTCTCTCTAAATTCCTTGATCTTCGCAAAAGTTGAATGAGATGTTCTTTGATATGGATTTTTAGCTTTTGTTGAGTTACCGTGTGGCTCTATCTTAGTGGGACCTGTAAAACTGTCAAAATAGTACTGGACAAACATTTCATTGAATATCACACCACTTCTAGGATCCTCCATGTGTATGACTATGCGATGCAAATGCTGATTAGATTTATTGACATATTTACGCCTTACAACTTTCTTTGTTGTTTCTGTTGTTTTGTCGTCATTAACATATACAAAATCTCCACTCTCTTCTACGTTAATAAATTTGGTTTCTTTGCCTGTTTGGTGCCATACACCCATTCCATCACATAAGCAATTTTTCCAGTGTCCAGTATGTCTAATACTATAAATAAATGAAACATTTTGGTCAATATAGTTAGGAACTGATCTTGCTAGGTTCTTTTTGCCCGCAGACTCCAGCAAAATACCAACGATATACCTTGTTTTAACTCCGTCTTTGAAATCTCTAAATACAGGCAGGAGAGGTTCGTCATGGTAAAAAGTTTCTTCTATGTTCGTTGTATATTTCGTTTCAATTTTCCTTTTTGGAGATGCCAAAGATGGCAAGGAAGTTTCGGAAGACGAAGGAGAAGGAGATTCTCTAAAACTAAAGGAAAGCTCCCTTTTAACTTCTGATAATTCTTCATTGTACTCAACATCAGATGATATACTGATGGGACTAGATGTTATCTCAATAACTTCAAACTCTCCCTTTGGCTTTTTCACTTTTATTGGCGAGGACTTAGACTTTGGGGATCGCCTCTTTCTTGGTGTCACTGTTGTAGCAGGTTTATCTACAATATTCCTATAGGTGAACTTTTTATATTCTGGCTTGATAACACTTTCACCACAACAAAAGATATCTGCATCAGTGAAGCTGTCATCTAAAATTGTAAAACAAAATTTTAAAAATAAATTTTATAATGTGTTATTTGCATTTTTTTTAATTTTGGACGAAATAATTCTAAATGGATATTAATTTTTGTGATTGCCAGATTATTTAGATAAGATTTAGTTAACCTACAGAAAGTGGAAGATAAATGTGCAAGGGGGTGGAAACATTCATCTTTCAACAAAAAAGGGCATCGATCCTGGCCTTTCTTTATGAGTATGGAACCTTGTGGTACAATTTTATAGAGACCCATACACTTATACTCAAGTTATTTACCTGAAACCTAATGTCTTCAGACAATGATGACATCACCATACTATAAAGAGGCTGCAAATTTTTTGAGGTCATATTAAAACAGTCATTCTCAAATATTAGGAACCCAACTATATGGACCAGTTCTGAGTTATTATAATTTATATAATTCAGTGAAGACACAGTTGATACATCATTACATTATATGACCTTAAAAATGAAGAAAACTTATTAATTTTATTTAAATTTAACAGTGATGGTTAAAATATTTTCTTGCTTCTTGATCACTTTTTCAATTACCAATTATCAATCACCAGTAATTTGGTATTCCCTTACCTATTTATTCATATATCATATTGTTCAATCCCAAGAGATAGAATACAAAAGCAATTGATATATTGTTTTTTTTTTTTTAATTTTATTAGGTAGTACAGATGTGAAGTTAAAAATATTAACATGTATTCCATTAAACTAGCGTTAATAAAACAGTGATTCCTATTTCCACACTAAGGCAGTGATAATTTATCAATCTAATGACAGAAAAATAGAAGCAATAAAGATTTCATTCCAAATCCATAAAAAAAGCTATAAAACATCTTCTGAACATGTTTCTGCATCTGTTAAATGTCTATTTATTTACTCATGACATATATATGTCTCAATTATTAACAAACTAATCAGTCTTTAAAAACAGACATTTTGCCAATGATCAAGAAATTAAGAAAAAAATAATTATAGAACCCCTAAAATTAGATGGAACAATACAAACTAGTCGATAGTCTATCAAATATATGGGCAGAGGAAATAGAAATATGCAGCAAACAATCATTTCCTTTGAGAAGAGCTTACCAAATTATAAACCCTTGTATGGGATAAATATTCTGATAGTGTTTCATCAAATTATGAAAAGTGGTAAAGGTGGAGTTGCTGATACAAAATGGTTACCCCCTCAAAGGCAATGCCAAAGTTCATGTTCGGGAAAAAGAAACCCTAATAAAATGCTCCGCAGGGCGCAGCTTGATACGACCGCAGAGGTCGAACCCTGAACAGTTGGGGCAAGTATGGACACAACATTTAAGCTTGATACAGCTCTGAATTTGGATTGTGATTAAATATTTGACACAGCATAGGTTTCTGACACAGAATGAATGTGGTCGAAGAACTTAAAAATTTTAAATTGGACATTCACCTATTATGGTCCAATATCCAAAATCTAAATACATGGTTAGATTCAGCATATCAAAGAACCCCAAGAATTCAATTTTTGATGAAATCAAACAAAGTTTAATTTTGGACCCTTTTGACCTCAATGTGGACAAAGTTGATAACGGGGCCCAAAAATCAAAAATCTAAATACATGGTTAGACTCAGCATATCAAAGAACCCCATATATTCAATTTGTGTTGAAATCAAACAAAGTTTAGTTTTGGACCCCGATTTGGACCAACTTGAAAACTGGGCCCATAATCAAAAATCGAAATACATGTTTAGATTCAGCATATCAAAGAACCCTAAGAATTCAATTTTTGTTAAAATCAAATTATGTTTAATTTTGGACCCTTTGGACCTTAATGTAGACCAATTTGCAAACGGAACCAAAAATTAAGAATCTAAATACATGGTTAGAATGGGCATATCAAAGAAGCCCAATAATTCAATTTTTGATGAAATCAAACAAAGTTTAATTTTGGACCCTTTGGACCTCAATGTGAACCAATTTAAAAACGGGGCCCAAAATCCAAAAACTTAATACACGGTTAGATTCAGCATATTAAAGAACCCCAAGAATTCAAGAATAAAACCCCATTGAAATTGGTCAAGAAATAAGCAATTTATACGAAGTATCTTCTTTTGCACAATACTGTGCAATTGAATATTTCTTGCTATTGCGCAATACTGTACAATTGACAATTTCTTGCTATTGCGCAATATTGTGCTATTGGATATTTCTTGCTATTGCGCAATACTGTGCAATTGAAGATTTCTTGCTATTGTGCAATACTGTCAATTGAAAATTTCTTGCTTTTGCACAATACTTATTATATAATAATTTACACATCCTGTCTGGTGTGTATCTCCTACCATATCATTATTATTTGCTTTTAAATATAAATCAGAAATAACCAACTTAAAATGAAAAATTTTAAAAGAAAAAAAAAGGAAAAAAAGAAAAAAAAGGAAAAAAAAAATCCCCCCCCCAAATTTTTTGAACCCCCTTATGATTCATCACCCCCAAACTCAATCCCAGCCTTCCCTTTGTGGTATGGTACCTTGCAGTACAATTTCAGAGAGATCCATACACTTGAACACAAGTTATTGTCTGGAAACTAGAAAAATGTGTTTTTTGGCCCCTTTTTGGCCCCAAATTCCTAAACGTTTCGGGCAATTACCTCCAAACTCAATTCCAGCTTTCCCTTTGTGATATGGAACCTTGTAGTACAATTTCAGAAATATCCAAACACTTACACACAAGTTATTGTCATGAAACTAGAAAAATGCTTGTTTTTTGCCCCTTTTTTGGCCCCTAATTCCTAAAATTTTGAGGCAATTACCCCCAAAATCAATCCCAGCATTCCCTTTGTGATATGATATGGAACCTTGTGGTACAATGTCAGAGAGATCCATACACTTACACACAAGTTATTGTCTGGAAGTTACAAAAATGCTTATTTTTGGCCCCTTTTTGGCCCCTAATTCCTTTACTGTTGGTACCATAACCCCCAAAATCAATCCCAATCTTCCTTTTGTGGTATTGAACCTTATGGTAAAATTTCATAGAGATCCATTCACTTAAACTAAAGTTATAGTGCGAAAACTAATGTGTCTTCGGACGACGACAACGACGCCGGACGACGACGCCAACGTCATACCAATATACGACCGCAAAATTTTTGCGGTCGTATAAAAATGATTTTAATGTAACAAATACAATAGGATGGGTTAGAAACTGAGAGTTTCATTTTATTATGAAAAGGTATATATTGTAGTGGATAGACGGACGGACGAACGAACGGACAAAGTGACAAACGCATAAATGTATGGACAGGGGTATAATTATTCATAACGCGTATGTAAATAAGATGTAGTCCTCTCATTAATGCCACTCGGATATGAAAAGACTACAAAATCAAATATTTCATTGTTCCAATCA